ATGCGGCAGTCGGGAGAGGGCAGGAGGGAGCCAGCCACACCCTGCCTGCATCCCGCTGCCAGCTGGTTTTCAACGAGCAGGAACCTGCCAGCCCATGTTACATGCCCCGTGGGTCCGCCCACACCGGCTCCCTGTAAAGCCCATCCATCGCTCCTGGGCATACCTACGGCTGTCAGAGCCCAGCCCACCGCAGCAGAGGAACGTGGGGTGGGATGCAGGGGCGGCTGGGTAAGATGGTCCCACCAGAGCTGCACAGCCGGGACGTTCCCCCCAGGAGTGTCCTGAGCACTGGGTCCAGGCCGATACCTGAGGAGCAGATACTGGATGTCAAGGTGCGTGAGCATGCACCTGCAGTGCACCAAGGCCAGTGCCTTGTCCCGGGCATGGCCAACATCAGCAGTTGGGTGAGCCCTGTCCACTGTCCCCAACAGTCTCACCTGAGCAGCAGCACACAGCCACCCACCAGCGAGTAGGCCAGCAGCGTGCCAATGGACATCATGTCAACCAGGGCTTTCAGGTCAAAGAGGAGGGCCAGGAGAGCTGTGGGGATGAGAAGCCCTTTCAGCCTCCCAGCAGAGCTGGCACTGCTGCTGTGCCCATCTCAGCCGTGCTCCCTGACACCCGCTGCAGCAGGACTCAAGCACCTCGATGAGCTGGTGATGCTTCGGTCACTAGTGCAAAGCATCCTGCCACCTCCTGCCTGGCAGCTCAGAGGCTGAACTGGTGTCTGGGACAGCATCAAGGCCAAACAGCCCTCACTCACAGCGAGGAGACCTCTCTCTGGGTGGAGAGATACTGCTCAAACAGCTACTGGCAAGCTAGGGGGTCTGTGTTGTCCTGCTGGAAGAGGACATCCACCAAGCCCTGCTCAAGGTTAAGGGGTAACCCAATCACTCACCCACCTGCCACTCCTCCAGACACCAGCGTTGCCACCACTGGGCACTGACGGCGACTAACTTTGGCCAGAGGTTTGAAGAGGAGCCCATCTCGAGCCATTGCATACAGGATCCGTGGCATGGGGAACATGGAGCCCAGGAGGCTGCAGAGAGGGGAGGAGATGGGGAAGAAGAGGGCAGGAATCCAGGAAGTGCCATCCTGCCTTTTGCTCCTCCTTGGGTGCCAAGGGTGCTCCCATTCATCTGGGCGGTCCATGACCTTCTCAAGACCATGTTGACAAGACCATCACCTCCCTCACCAGTGAGGGAGGGACTGTATCAGGGAAGTGATGTCTGCAGGTCACCGGGAGCCCTGTACACACTGAGACACCCCAGCCTGCTCCTGCGGTCACAGTGCCACCAAGCACCTGACCACCTCCTCCAGCTTTGGGCTATAAGTGGCATACCAAGGGGGTTGGTTGCTCTCCTTGATCAGGAGGGGCCAGGCTGGGAGCAACAGGGTTTGTGAGGAAGGGCTGAGGGATTTTGGCCAAGCAGGGCAATCAGAAGGAAGGGGTTGGGGATAGCTCCTGCATGTGTTATAGCTCCAGTGCAACCTGCTCTGAGCCACAGAGCTGCCGTTGGGGGCTGCCCCTCACCTGGTCGTCAGGGCGCAGAGTGACCCCACAGCCACAGCATGCTTTGCGCTGCCCCAGCCAACATATTCAAAAGCCGCTGGGAGCGGGCTCATGGCGTCCAGGAGGTAGTAGGGCATCATCAGGGTGAGGGAAGCAGACACCCCAAAGTACGCGAGGAAGCAGATGAGGAGGGAGAGGACAATGCCTATGGGGATGGATCTCTGCGGGTCCCTCACTTCTTCCCCTGGGGAAGACAAGCTCAGCTGTAAAAACAGATGCTCATTTAATATCCTATGTCCTCTCACAAGAGGGGACACAGAGGCCTTCTAGCAAGGACCACTAGACCTCCTGGGCTCCAGGGTTATGGCGATAGGGACTGTCTCTGCTTCAGGATTAGCCCAGTCATACCACATGGACTCTTATAGTTCTCCTCTGAGCACAGAGGGCAGGAGAGAGCAGCTGCGGCACAGAGCCGGCAATGTGCCGGTTCCCAGCCCAGCCCTACACCAGCTCCCGGGGTTGTGGGGAGAATCACTGCCACAGCCCCCCATCCTGCAGGGGAGGGTCCCACCGGAATCTCTCCTTGCCTCACTTACCCATGGTAGCGATGCAGTCAAATCCAACAAAGGCATAGAAACAGGTAGAGGCTCCAGCCAAGGTCCCGGTGAAACCATAGGGCATGAAGCCTCCCACCCCAAAGGCACTGGTCATGTTTTCATCCTCGGACTGATTCCTGGGAGGAGGAGGAAGACTCAGGCAGTGAAGAGGGGTCAGTGCAATGGGGTCCCAGGATCGGCCAGGCTAAACAGCCCATCCAACCTGCTCACCCCTCCAGTATCAACCCAGCAGGGCTTCGGACTTTGGCTCTTTGATGCATTGCCAACAGGGCAGCGAGAAATGGGAGAAAGTGGGATTTCCTGGGATAAAGCATTAGGGGGGTGACCCAGCCATCCCCATCGCCCTCTGAAGGCAGCCCAGGCAGAGCAGCCCCCCTCATACCCAGCCTCATGGGCAGCTGCCCGTGGCAAGGTCATCCTCCCCAAGCTTCCAGTTGCTCAGGTCACCTTTGATGAAGCCACTCACTGTGACGAAGAGCAGTACAAGCACGTTGAGAGCTGTGAAGGCTTTGTTGACTGTGGTGGACTCCTTCACTCCAAAGGAAAGAAGCCCTGGGG